AAGGCTTTGATTATCTTTCCTTCTTTTATTTCATCAGCAAATTACCTATGTTATGTTAATGCGAGTTTTTCTTCTAGTATGACAAAAGGAGTACTATACATATGCAAAATAGCAGGATAATTCATGCTCACATGTCACTTGTGATCATTTCTAGTGCTGCGGTCTATTATGGTATTTCAGTCTAAAATTTGATGTCATGCATTCTCCTTGAACCCTTAACTAATTTTTTAAACTGTAGCTATTCTTATATATAAGAAAAATGAGATTTGTGTAAAGAAACTAAATGTGAAATACCTCGGATCAAGAGAGGAGCAGAATGTATCAATATGTGTAATAATAAATTTAACAAAATAAACTTTTGCAAGTAAAATGCTATGAAAAATATATAAACTTTAAAATGTCAAAAAGAAATTAATAAAGTGAAATTTTATTGCAAATTATTAGAAGCCTTAAAGCATAAGAAAATTCTTTTCAAAAAGGAAATATTAAAATGAAATACACTTAGCTATATGCCAGGCATGACCAAATTGTGGCTCTCAAGTTCCATAATTGCAGTTTCCAAAAGGCAATGAAGGTCTCTGACCCCTTAAATATGACTTCCCTGCAGTAAAATTTTATTTTTTAAATAAATTTTCATTGTATAAGAAATCATCCAGTGACATGCATCTTTATCATTTAGTAATACAATTCCTCAAATTATAATTTAGTCAATTTCAAACTATCCATCATGCAGTGATCATAAAAGTAGCAAATAAAGAAGTATATAATTCGGTTTCTCCGAATTATTTTATAACTGTGTTGTTTTTAGTCCAGAGGTAGTGGTCATTGGGATAGCGTGAAAAAAGAAATAATGTACTCTAGTCTTTTTCTGTCATGTTTAATTTTATTTCAAGCACTTTCTCCTTGCAGTTCTAGTAACCTGCTTCCTGAAAAGAGCGGTTTAGAATTTTGGAAAATTAACTATTCTTTGCAAAAACTTTTTTTTTTTTTTTCAAATTTTTCGAATGGTATTGCAGTTGCTGAAGAAATTTCTTTCAGGTTAGAGACAAATTTGAGATCTGATTAACTCATATGTGTATTATGATAGAGGAGATAAAATTTCTCATTTGTATTTGGTTGCAACCTTTTCATGTCCATCCTTAAAGAAGCTTGGTGATTTTTGTACTTTTTTCTGCAAACCTTTCACAGTAATATGCTGCAGTCATGTTTTCCAGCAGGAATTCTATCTTGTTTAATGATTCATTGGGAATTTTAGATAGTCATCACTTATTTCAAACCTTACTGTGTTCACAAGTTACAGCAGAGAAATGTAAAAATTAATGTAAAACTTATTCTTTGCAGCCAATGAGACTTAAACTAATACAAAACAACTTATCACCTCTGATGCTTAGTAGCTTATTGGAACCTTAAAGTATATTAACTGGGTTACAACCCTAGGAACTGTACATGAAGCTACGATACTAACTGTAACTGTATCGGACAGAGAGGATATCTAACTTTAGAAACTTGCCAACCGTGCCTATATCAGACTTTTAGGTCTGTTATGATAAGTAAGTCTTTCTCTAGGCAAGCAGCAGTGGTGACAACAGCTAGTTTTCTGTTACTAATCCTGCTGATCATGATTTTACTTCTCATATTAATGTATGCTCTTTGTCATAAAATTCACCTTCTATTTACTAGACTGAGCAACTATGTGACAAAATGCGACATCAAAGAAAAAGTCAACGTAAAGCTAACTGTAAGCACAGTCAAAAGTCTTTAATCCAGACTCGTTGAGACTTCAGTGATTCCGGATTATATATTATCAGTTTAAACTATTTGATGTGTATTCGTGATATTTATTATGACGAGGAATTTGATTTAAATCATATCAAAGATGGAGTACATCAAGATGAAATACTACATTTATTAAGGAATTACAGTCAAAAGTCGTTAATCCGGACTCGTCGGGACTTCGGTGATTCCAGATTAAAGATCATCAGTTTACATCTGGTAAGATGGCAAGCAGAAATTATAAAATAAAAAATATGAAACTGTAATTTATGAAATAAAGAACAATTATGATCTAAAGGGTATCAAAATTTACACACACACACAAAAAAAAGAAAACAATATTTATTTGTTTACTTTATGAAACATTTCTTTCAATGTAAGTTGTTTAAGTTGCTTCGTTTTTTATGTGATAATACATTCTCTTTAATTCTATAAACAGACATAATTTCTTGTTCAGTTACAAAGTTCCGCTGTTCAAGTCCTATAATTGCTGTGTCGAGAATACCGACTAATTTGTCAATCGAAATTTTTTCGTTTTCAATAACCTCTGTTACTTTCTTCGCTAACGGAAGCGAATTATAATGACGAGAAATTTGATTTAAATCATATCAAAGACGGAGTACATCGAGATGAAATACTACATTTAGTAAGGAATTAAAAGCCAAATAAAATAAAAACATCTGCCCTGAAGATAAGGATAGTGCTGACACATCAACTTCCAATTCATTGTGCGCCACCGCGTTAAAGATAAACAAAGTTTAGATAAATAAACGTTAAAGTTTAGATAAACAAAGGATATGCCTTTATCCATTTTTTTCAGCAATTCCACATTTTGTTTAATGGATTTCGAAATATATTTTCACTTTGTAGATCCTTTACTTATTAGTAAATATATATTAGAAATTCTATTTGACATAATCGAAAGTTCAAGCTTACTTTTATAAAATTGCTCTTAACAGTCTGCAAAAAATAATAAGCCCAATCCAATTAGAAGATTAAGGAAAAACGCAATCTGCAACATTAACTGAAATAGATAATTAGATAATTTTAGCTTAGCTGATACCGTCCGTTATACATTAAACGCGCATGCGTTAACAGATTATGCGTTGTCGCATGCGCAGAAAGTTTGTAGCTTTGAGGTCTGGATTATAGATCATTCCGGATTAAAGATTTTTGACTGTATAACATCATAAAATGTCACTAATCTTCTTTAAAATAATAGGGGAACTGGAAAGTAGTGTCTCTTTCTTACATTAAATTCAAACAGATACATTTTTAACAAGTTTTTATTTTTAATCAATAATATAATCACCCTCGTTATCAACAACCTTTTGCCATTTAATGTGCAGATTATCTATCCCGGACCGATAAAAATCAGTTGGTTTTTGGTCTCGAGACTACATTTTGGACATCATCCAAATTTTCAAATTTTTGTCGCTAAGAAAATGTAAGGATCCAAATAAATGGAAATCCAATGCTGCGATATCGGCCGAGTATGGTATTACCTCCCACCCCAATTCATTAATTTTTTCCAGTGTTCGTCTTGCGTTGTCATGCTGCAAAATGACGTCTTTTCTGTTGACAATTGATATTTTTCGATTAAAGATTGGTTCACTCCATCCAATTGTTCACAATAAAGGTCTGTATTAACAGTTTGTCCAGGTTTCAGCAATTCGAAATGAATAATTCCGCGAATCATCAAACACCCAGAAGTGCGTTTTCGGGATTTAAACCCTTTGTAACCCCTATTAAAACTGCCTTTTGAGTTTTGGATTATCATATAGGACTTTTTTTTTTGTCTCCATTAATCAAAAGATCAATAAACGGTTCTGTATGGTGCCGTTGAAGCAATACGTTGCATGTGATGGATAGGTTAGCTGATTTCGGACAGATTATGGGGGACTCAAACACCTGCTGTGCTTTTTTTCCATTCTGCTTTAAATGTTCTTGGATGGTCGACCAATGTTGGTTAAGAGTGTTTGACATGGATTTGCTTCCACTTCTGCCCTTAGCATGTTGTTGTCGACATGCGCAGAAACGACATTACTTTCCGGTCCCCTATTATTTAATGTAACTTGATAAATTTTATAAAGTTGAATTTATTCTTAAATTTGTTTTATAATTATGTTTATTAAATTATGTCTAATGATTATGCATCCTGCTTACAGATGTATTTTATTCTTATAATGGTATTACCAAAGTTCAGCCATAGATAATATCATAAATTTAATTTAGTTCTCTTTTGCTGACAGGTCCTTAATTTTTCCATCAATGATTTTTAAAAGGTCCTTCAAAGTACTGTAATTTCCATGTGCAGAAATGTGTACGAAGCCTGCTAGCCTCTGGTTTTTAAAGAGCTTGAAGGATATCTGCTGTGTGCGCTGTCAGAGAAGCAGTGAGATGGCAGATATGTTAGCTTAGGAATTCCATACATTTGCATCCACCTCTATAGAAAACTGAGAATAGTCAGGAGAATTGTAGAATTGTCAGGAGGTGTTTCCATCGTACATGGGTAGTTTTAGGAAAAGACAGGGCTAGAAATTGAAAAGTGTCTGAATTTATTTTCTGCTATTAATTATGGATTTCTTTTAAGTTGTCAACTTCCTTGGCGGTCGCAGCAAAAACTCTGTAATTGATTTGTTGCTTGTCAGTAGAAACGCTTTCTTTGATTTGTTGTTTAACAACAGAAACTCTTTCTCCAGTGGCAGTAATTTCTCTTTTCGTTTCCTCTTGACCTGCTTCAATCTCTTCTTTAAGAAATATTTGACCCACTTTTATGTTTTCTTTAAATGCAGCAGAAGCTGTCAACAGCTGTCTTAGTTGCTCCATCTTCATTTTTGTCTCCAGCATTCCATTCCATTTCTAGCACCAAAATTATTGCATGCCGATGAGTTTCTAATGAATTTGAATACACACAGAACTAGTGATAGCTTGATAAAATTAATTTTTACAGTACTTTGCACAAAAATACTCATAACGTTTCACTATCGCGGAGCACACTCAGTAGTTACACTTTAGACTACTAAAAATGTTAAGCACAGTGCCATACAAATTGCATTTAAAAGGCAAAACTTCTGCACATCTAATAAAAGATGAGCTAGGTTGTAATTTTACTGTTTAATTAGTTTCTAAGTATATCATTGTGCAAAAATGCATATTTATATATATCTAAAGGTTAAAATATATATTTAAAAATTGTAAATGCTGAGTTTCAATATGTATTTCAGAGTAACTATCGAACATGCCCGAGGGTCGCCACGAGGAAACGACATGTATAGAGATCGTAATAGAGGATATCAACGTCCAATGCAAAATAGGCGTCGCCAGGGAGGAGGTCGCGACAAGTAAATATTTCATTTTTGTAAAGGTGTTTCTACTGAACATGGGCTAATTGAGTTCTTTCTTTTGAATCTTTTATTTATTTATTGAAGGTACACTCCACCTACAAGAACTGAGTATCGACTTATTGTGGAAAATTTGAGCAGCAGGGTGAGCTGGCAGGTATGCACAATGTGATACTTATTTTCTATAATCTTCTGTTTTAATCCCCCCCCCACACTTTTAATAAACTGTAATCTCACAAGGCCACACATCCTCTCTTTCCCCCCCTCCCAAGTTGCATAATTTTGCAAAAGATCTTTCTTAATAACGAATTTGAAATAGACTAAGTTTTGATTGTAATTAATCATAGGTTTCATTTTACACAGAAATTTAATTATTTAACTTTTTTACTTAAACACACAAACACATGAAACATTCTAATTTAGTTTCCATTTTCCTTATATGCTTAGCTTGGTACTTCTCCATTATAATGGTCTTAGTGAAAAATGGCAATTGTTACGTTTCTGCCTTGGCAAGATGCAACTGATTACCAGTATGCACATAGGTATACAGAGTAATTTAATGAATTGTGCAAATTCCAACCCCCTTCTTTTAATGATTATCAACATAATTTTTCTTATTAAATTTTACTTGATCTGTCATAATCTTTTGTTGTATGTTTGTAGGACTTTTTATGAAGATTGAACCAATGTTAAGTCCATTAATATTTGTATTTAATTTTGTATCACCTCAATAAATGGTATGTGATTAAGTTTACCCATACAGTGGCCTATAATATATATAAGGCATGTACATCAATTATTAGTGTTGTTTTCATCATATTCAAAAGTTATAAATAACAGCTTTTTTTTTTTTCTAAAAAAAGGTTTAAAATATATGTTAATCACGATGTGAAGTCAGTCAAAGAATATAAAACTTAGAATTTGGATATAATCAATTAGATCTTCTAAATTGGAATCGAATTTTGAGTAGTTGGATAAACAAATCACTCATTATAAAGTTTATTTATCCATGTAATTGTCTCGGAATATTCAGAACTTTCTGAACGTACGTCGGTTTAATCTCTGAAATTAATTTAATTTTTTTTTTCCCCTGTGAATTTTTCTTTCAAAATACTTCTGGTTTTTTGCTGTTGCAGAATTAGTAGGGGCAATTTTTCTTTTGGATTTTAGACCGTAAGAAAGTTTAGAAGGATTTGAAGACAAGATTTATAGATCTACAATTTGAGAAGATTCTAGACAAAATTAAAAATGTCTTCATGGTATTAACTCGTAATGGATGTATTTTGCAAAAAGTTTGTGATAAATATCTTACTTTTTGGACAATTTTTGGAAGGACAGTGAAAACATAATATTTCAATGTTTTACTTCTGATACTAGAAGTCTTTTCCTTAGCATAATTATTTTCCTTTATTTTTCCTTCCTTTCACTAGACCGAAGCAAGGAAAATATGAAAAATGCATTTGATCTTGTTACATGGACAGGTATCTATAGAAAGGAATTTTAATAAAGAAATACAATTTAAATGATTCATTTTATTATGTCTCGATACATGATACACAGGGTTGGTGTTAGGCATTTTCCCACTTGATGCAATCTCTGTGGGTCCTAAATTCTGTTCTCAGTGCCTAAATTCTAAAAGCTTTGCCATTTCTGGATTTTGTTGGTCTGTGTATAACTAAATTCTAAAAATTCTCCCATACCAGCTCTGTAACTGGCCCTGGCCATATATCATTTCATATTTATTCTTAACCCCTTCGAGCCGGGTAACAAAAACACGTGCTTATCACTGAGGCCGGCAGTGTCTTACGCGAGCGTCTCTCCAGGGCCGGGGGCTTTTTTGCTACTAAGCCTAAATCCATGAAATTTCCGAAGTATCAACCCATTGTTTAATAATGCTCTATAGAGTATTTAAACGGCTTGTGCTTTATAGATATTTATTATATATATACTTAATTACCTTATTCTTGTTTAAATGCATATTTTACACATTTTAATTGCTCACCATTTTATGAATTTTAACATTATACATCTGAAAACTAAATATATTACTTAAAATTCTCTTTCCGTATGAAAAATTTGAAAACAGGGATCTACACACAGTCCTACGTTACATTCCTTGCACTCGTAATAACTCATTTGCCGTTTTGGAGGATTTTTCCGGGAATGTGAACAAACGAAGCATCGTCGTCGCATTTTCTTATCAGTCTCTTCTGAACAAAGTTTTGGAAAATGTCTTTCAGTTAATCTTTCAGAATCAGTATCTGAAATATTTTGCATCATTTCTGCTATTTCATGCTCTGTTAAACATTTTCGACGCTTCGACATTGCAACGATAAAAACAAAGAATTCATGTCTAACAAGATCTAATTATTTTCTAAAAAGTGAACTGCAAACCGAAATACCCAATGCTTTAGAGCAAATAAAACTTCTCTACTTACAGTAAACAACTACCACGTGTGAATAAAGTGCGATTTAAAGAGACGTCATAAATCACGCCATTCGGAAACATTTATTTCCCCGTTTGTTTATATAATCAAAAATACATGTATGTGAGTCATGCTTCTCTCATTTCGAGTAGAAGGTCTAATTTACATGTATCTGAAACCATATGGACATACAGTGCCATTTTGTGGCAGAAATTATAGTTTGAAAAACGTTCCAAAGTACTGGTGCAAATACGTGACAGTCGGTAGAGAATGGAACAATTCTCTGGCACGCCTGTGTGTCGGCCGGTAGGTAAGTGCGTTCGTTGCTGGCACGTATACGTGACAGTTGGCGTGAAGGGGTTAAGTGTTCATATTATTTAAGAAATAAAATTAGCAGCTTCTTCTATACATTCTAAATGTATGTAGTTTTTAGAATAACAGAAATCTTTAAATAAATCCAAAAATTCTAAAATGAAGAGAAAACTTATTGAGAAAAGAAAGGGAAGATATATACAGTTATTATTATGTAAATTGACTAAATGTTCCTAATTTCAACCTTTACTACAACTTCTCCTTTTCGTTTTTTCACCAGAATGCAAATCAGTTAGATAATATTTAAACTGATGTTTTGACATTGTAAGACTGAGAGTGTTTCTGTCCTCTGTTTGCATGCTGCATTAGTTCTTGCCAGCTGTGATAATTTGTAGTTATTCGGCTTTTTGCGTTATTGCTGCCGGCATTTGAATCTGTTAAGACAATGAGTTACTGAACCAGCTTAGAGTAAAATTAAATTTTGTTGTCTTTGACTACTAGTCCATGTTTTTAATTTGAATTTGACTGTACCTGTTTAGTTACATCACCATGAGCTGTAGTTGATTTTGTTAGCATAAGAACATACTTTTTTGTTCTAAGTTCTATTTAAATAAAGAGGTTTATTTAAACATTTATCTGACTTCTTCTGATCTAGTTAGTTATTTTCAGACTTGGCGATAATTTGCTCCACATCCGTCAGGGGTATGAGACTATTTAACATTTACTAGATTGAGTAAAACCTCATAGGTCTAGTGTCAAGACATTAATAAGTTAAGAGATGAAGCAGAAACTGGTAGGAATATTGGTTTGCTTATTCAAACAAATTTCTCGTTAGAAAAGATCCTTAAAGAGAATTGATATAAATTAGCCAAAATATCTAGGAAGGTTTTAAATTAAAAAGACTCGTAAATATTTTGTTGTGTGTTTGTGTAGCTTTTAATGTATAATTATCCTAATGTCATTTAAGAATAAATGTCATAATTTATATGCATTTTGCTATGTTAAAAATGTTATCAAATATAATTTTTAATCGTGCTTTTTTATCAAATATATAAAAAAAATAACTAGAATTTAATGGTGGCCTTGTAAATCTATAATGACTAAGGGTACTTAATTTAATTATTGGTAACTAATTGTTCACCCTTAAAAGTTATCTCTGCATGTTAACTCTTTGAAATCCAGACCCTTCGCTAGCCTATATCCTCAAAATACCGGAACGCCCGAAATAGTTTTCAAGTTTCACAGCAATTTTCTCCCCTTCCTGTCCATTAACACAGAAAATAGGTGTGAAGATTTCCAGTGACATCATTTCTACTTTCTAACAAAGATTCCATTAGCCTTTGACCCCGTTCTTTATAAAACTATTCCGAAGGTTAGACCAACAAGCCTTTCCGGCTTTGTTATGATCACGACTGAGATTTTGTTTATTTCCGTTATTTTTATAAGAAGGAATAAATTGTTTTTAAATAAATATAATACTTAAATTTTAAACTGCTCTTTTATTTCTGTTTAAAGCTTAAAAGCACACTGTAACACAAAAGAATCAACAATGAAATGTCACGATCAACCAAAAGATAAGAAACCTCTTAGGACAAGCTGTCTGCAGTAAACTGATACAATGCATTTGGGGAAACTGCACCTGCTACTGCATTCTTTAGGAGGAGGGAAGGAAACAAAATGACAATCTCGGCCATTTTTGAGCGTTTCTGGTTGTTTTAATGTAGGGCGTGTGGGGCGGATTGGATGTGAAGGAGTTAAAGCGAGTAATGTCTTTCATTAATCCATAGTGTGTTTATGAGATACAACACAAAAATTAATTAAAAACTTATTCCTTACAACTAGTGAAATGTAAAATAATACAAAACAGCTTACCATCTCTGGTGCTTTAGTGGCTTATTGGAACTTTAAAGTACATTAACAGGGTTACAACTCCAGGAACTTTACATGAAGCTACAACACTAACTGCGTCAGACTGACAGAGAGAGCATAACTAACTTTCAAAACTTGCTACCTTTGCCAATAACAGGTCTGTTTTTATCAGCAAGTAAGCTTTAAGTAAGCAGCAGCAGTAGCAACAGCCAGTCTATAATTTTGCTTCTCATTTTTTAACCTATGCCATTTAACATAAAATCTACCTGCTATTTACTAAACCTCTAGACTCAGAAAATATACAATGAAATGAGACAAAAGAAAAAAATCAACATGAATGCAACTGTTAGTAAAATGTGAATAAAATGCCACTTATCTTTAAAATATGTCCGACTATTATAAATGTAAAATATTTACTGCTAATTAATACATTTTACAAAGTTGATTTTGTTCAAAAATTTATTTTATGATTATGCTTAGTAATAGTGCATGGTACTTAGGATCTCTTTTATTCTTAGGATGGTAATACAAAAGTACAGTTCAGTCATAGATAATATCTTTAATTGAATTTATTCAGTTCTGATTTACTGATAGGTCCTTAATTTTTTTTTTTTTTTTTTCTTTAATGGTTCTTAAAAGTACTTAATTTTCATGTTCAAAAATTTGTGCGAACCCTGGATATGTAGAATATTGATCCATATCTTATATGAGGAGAACAAAAGGAATGTTTATACAGAGGTAATAATAAGTTTCTGTTTCAGAACCAGTACTACTTCAACATATTCTGTACTTACATACAATCGCCTATAAATTATCAACATTCATTTACAATAATTTTGTACTACATATCTGTATTAATTTCTTCTGTTTTTATATTCACTTCATTCTCAGAGTAACTGTAAAATTCTTAATATTAATTAAAGCATTTGAAAAATAATCCAAACAAAATGATTAATCACATTACAATTTAATTATCTTCCCTGAAAAAATATTAAAGTTCTTAATTCAAAAATAGTTTTTTTTAATGTAATTTATAGTACCATATAAATTTTTAATCTTTCATTTTCTCTAAAACAAAGAAGAAACAGTATTCCATATTTAAAGTTCAAAATAACTAATTAATAATTTCATAGTTATGAAAAATGACTAAAAATAAACTAAAATGCACCAACAACAATAATAAATGTGAACCATGAGTGAAAACATCAGAATACTTGTGGTATGAGAGAAAACTGCACGAGAGAAAATTTGGTATAGTACCAGGGTGTCTGGGTTTAAGACCCTACCCCTAATCTCAAAGTAGTGCAATTTAAGAAACATACAGGAAAGTAACTAGAGATATCAAAAATAAGTAATTAGATTAATGTATATACATATTTACATAACTTGGTATTTTTTTATAATTTTTATAAAAGGTTTTTTTAAAGTTTGAATAAATAAGTTAATAATACAATAGGTCATGCAAAGATCTAAAAAAATTATAAAAATGCCATCTGGAAAGCTAAAAGGGCCATCAAGCTAGTGATAACCTGTCAGACAAAAATGACATACATACATACAAATAAATAATCTAAGTGTGAATCCGAGGGTGCACTATGGTAATTAATAGTGACAATACAGAATGCATATACCTATATACTTAAATACATAATTACAAATTGTACAAATTAAATAACAAAATTTATGTACAAACATTAATCTGGTAAATTTCCTAGTATGGTCATTGACCTTTTACTGAAGGATGGATCATTTACATTATAGTCATCGACCTTGATGACAGGGTTATTAATGCAGTTTTGGTCGTTGTAGAATTTGCGAGCAGTGTGACAGTAGAAAGACCTAAGCTGTTCATCATGTAATTTTAAGTGTCTCATTTACCACAGAGTGTTAGTAATCTGCTGCAGTACACAATTCTGGACAGTTTGAACTTTTTTCTGGCAGATTTGCATAAGTACGCCCAGATTGGACAGGCATAACGCAGTATGAGATGCAGCATGGACGTATAAATAAGTAACTTGTTGTCTATATCTTTTTCGAGCTATTAAGGGGAAGAGTGAACGTTTACCTGCTCGAAACTTCTTGATGATAGATATAACGTATGGGTACCGTGAAAGGATTTTACTGAGGATCACCCTAAGATAAAGTAATACTTGTGGTATTCTTTGGCCATATTTATTATTTCAAAACAATAAAATGAGATTGTAAAAAATTTTAACTAAAACACTCCGTACAAAATTTAAAACCCAATGCACCAGCATCAGCATTGGTTCACTAAAAAAAAAGTAATTGAGTACACTTTGACCAAAAGAAAATAATTATGGATAAGCATCTATAAGGCTGGATATTAAAACACAAAATCAGAAATGGCTGAAAAGCAGTTTTCGCCATTCTTCATATGCCGAGTTAATAGCTCTAACATTAATTACCTATGTTAATTTTCGATGCATAAATGAAAGTATAATAAACCATCTCGCGCATGGTTAGTTGAAAACACTTTTATAATAACAGATATATTTTAAATCATTTTGTAGTTGATTGGTAAATACAACGATTGAGCTTGAAGCACTAGTTAATTGCAAAGTACTTAAATCATAGATGATCATACAGTATTTATATTCTTTTCTTTTCATAGACACTGGGCGAACCACGAGCGAGCAGTTATGAGCACACAGATTAAAAACAGGCATGGCACAGACACAGTCCTCATTGACTCGATGTATGTGTGTGTATATATGTATGTATATATATAATAAATTATATACTGTAGACATCGAATGAGATACTTATATCAGGCATTGTGTTTCTTGCCAAGGCCGAAACATGCCAATTCCGGCTTTTTGCAGAGGTAATTATATCGGAGAAGTACCTTTAGCTTTTTAAGTTTAATTAATCCTCTGTAAAACATTTTTTTTAACAGTGTGCATAATAGTTGCAGCAATGTGATTGATTCCGAATTAATGTTGATCAGCACAGCTGTCTAAAAATTATCCATTTCTTTCATAAGTTACCATCCATCCAGCCCGAGAATCTGGTAAAGGGTTGCGATGTGCACTAAGAGGTGAAGCGGGCAGGTTGCACATAGTCCTGTTTATCTTCTACAATCATCCTTCCTAACGATGGGACCACTTGTTGTGGCAGTACTGATCAATGGACATGTTGGACCTTGGCAGTGTGGTGGATCTCGGCTGCAATACTCTGTGGTTGGATCCAAAGACAAGCTTAATGCAACCATTAAACAACCATAATGCAACCATTGGGTGGCATAATGGAACCTAAGACTCAAAGGGTCAGGTCCTCTCTCTCCCAGCACAACCTGGCGTGCAGCAGGTTCTGGGTTTCAACAACCCATCAATGGTTGGGCAAGTGCAGTGTGTGGTGGTCCCTACGAGCAATATACCTGTATCTATTGACGTCACTGTTTTTTCATTCAGGTAAAGTCATTGATTTTAGGTTTGTTTTAAAAAGTAATTAATGTTTTCACAATCATTAAATTTCAAACTGATTATTACAGAAAAAAAAAATTATTTTGAGAATATTTCTTTGAATAAATATTGAACTCCTGGAATTTGGATCATGTCTCTTTCTGGATTGAAACTCCAAAGGACTTCTTAAAGATCTCGTTTTACAATATCAATGAGCAATGGAGTTATGTTCATGATAATGGACATTCTACTGTTCTGCTTTTGGAGACAGTGTTCCAGCAAAGCATATCAGTGTATAGGAAAAACAGTAATCTTTAAATTTATTTATGAACAAAATTCTAGAAAAAAATGTAAGTATCTAGTTGTCTTCATTAAATTGAAAGTACTTTTAGAGGATTTTCAGGTGAGTTATGTTCAAGATACCACGTTACTCTTACATAGGATGGTCCGCTAAAAATAACCGGAATTACTTTTCAGTTAATGTACTCTACACTTTTATATTCCAAGTTTGCTTCAGAATGTTCTCTGCCTGCACTGAACTTTTTACAAAATTTGATCTAATGTTGGAAGCATGAAAACAGCTCTAGAACTCTCAATATGGAATTTTATTTAAGGCAAGCGGTAGAACCTCATCTGTGTACTGATTTGAATTTTGGAAGCTTTTTTATTATCTGTGGAAATAGAAAAAGAATTGCAGTGCAGAAGAACGTTTGGTGAGTAAAATGGAGTGTACACAAGTATCATGTTGTTCTTCCCTGAGCGTTGGACAGCAGTGGGAGACTATGTTAGTTAGTACCCCATCACTGGAGTAAATCCTTTTGAAACCTGGTGATTTTCAATCTTCATTTATAACCTACTACATTAACAGTGTTTTTTCTGCTTAAAACGATGTCTGTATAGTAGCAGTCTTCATTTGACATGTCACAGTTTTTGAATCTGAAAAACTACTTGTATATTTGTGATTTACTTGAGAATGTCATCTGTAACGATTTGCCAAAGTATAACAGTTTTCTTAGCTGCAGTTTTTTTCTTCAAATAATAATAATAATAGTAATAGTAGCACACTTTTTATTCTCTGTGATTGTGCATCAAAAATTGTAGGCTACTGTAAGCTGAAACACATCAAAATTAACATTGGGAACAAAGAACTTGGACTGATGCCATTTGGTAAATCTTTAGCAATATAATCTGTAATTTTGAAATACTTGTCATTCCGGTTATTTTAGAGTACCCCTATGTAACCCTGTTTTAAATTGTTATAGATTCATTGATTTGATCTAAATTATAATTCAAGTTTGTCTCTTAATTTCAGTCACATTTTGTAATCAGAAGAAAAATATTTTGAGGTTTTTCTGGGATGCAGGTTTTACCATTAGTATGCTTAAAAAGATGTGTATTTTGGCATTGCATATTTTTGTTAGGTGGCATTAATGTGAATTCTTTGCCAGATATTTGATGTGTGAAAAATATGGTAATAAGAATAGTTAGAATTTTTCATAAATAGAAAAAAACCCATGTTATGTGTGTATAACTCAAATTTCAGGATTTTTTGTAGAATAGAGATTTTGGTTATATTTAAATTTAAAAAATTGAGAATAATAAAAGGATGATTATTATATTGTGCAGTTTGAGCATGAGTTGATATGTTCTCTTAGAGTATGTAATAAAACAGGAAAGTCTGAAAAATCCTGGAAATCATGCAAAGGAAAAATCGAAACTTTTTCAAAAGAAGTGAAAATACATGGAGCTAAAAAAATGGAGAACATCTCAAAGAAAAAAAGAAAATCGTATGTTTAAATAGTAAACTACATATTGCCAACTCCCTTTTTTTCTGATGTCTTTCAGTCTCTCAGTAAATTGCCATATCTTCAGTTTTATCCTTCACTAATGAAAGTGTTTCCCTGCAGTTAATGAAATTTAGCGAATTAAGAAAATCGTATGTTTAAATAGTAAACTACATATTGCCAACTCCCTTTTTTTCTGCTGTCTTCCAGTCTCTCAGTAAATTGCCATATCTTCCAGTTTTATCCTTCACTAATGAAAGTGTTTCCCTGCAGTTAATGAAATTTAGTGAATTAAGGAAACTTAAATTACGCAGATTCCATTCTTTCACTGTAAGTGACTTTCAGTATAATTTTTCATATTAAATTTTACTTGACCTAAATTTCTTTTATTTTTTATCATATTTAAAAGTACTTAGATATATATATGAAAACTTGTCTTCCCTACACATATGTTTATTACTTTTATTTGTATAATATTTAAGAGTACATTGATAGTTAAAGGTTTTTCTTCCTTATTCAGGATAAAAGTAGAAGAAAATTAGAATATGAAATTAGATGAAGAATCTAAGACACCAAGAAAACCTTCCTCAACCTCTTGGTTTTTCAATTTTCAAAGTTGGCAGCTATGAGTGAATAAACAAATTTGCCTCTTAAAAAAATGTGAAGAATTACTCTTAATCTTTGTTTCATTGCAGAAAACTGTTTACCCACCTTCACATTAGATATGATTTTATCAACTTCTTCCTTATATCTAGCTGTTCTTCCTTGTTTTCATTAGAAATGTAAATGTTTGTCTCCCTCTGTCAAAGTATAATCGTTTTAAATGTAAATGATGTGGTTTTGTTACATAATAATAAAAATTATAAATCAAGCTTCCCCTCGTCCCAATCTAGAGTTCTTTTTATCTTCGTGGTTTTATTTTGGAACTCAAAAAGAATAATAACGTATGTTGTAATAAAAAAATTTTCTTGTTTGTTTTTATCAATCCAGAATAATTTTAAGCTCTTGAGTTTTTTCTTTTTTTGAGGGGTGAGGAAGTATCTAAAAACTGCATGTAATTATAAAAATATTAATAAATCAGCCCAGAGATTCAAACAAAAGGATATTGTATGTAATAATAAAAATTGCATTAATAAAACACTTTTTTTTTTCAATCCAGAATAATTCTAATTTGCAAAGTTTTACTTTGAAACTCTGATACACTACTATCAGAATGAATAAACAGTTTTTTCAAAACTTTGTATTTCTTTCAGAAGTGTTATCCATTTTTAAAATGGTTTGGATGGATTTTCTGTATATAATTTCTCTCATTTGCTTTGCAATAATTGTGTCATACTTTAATAGTATATATGAGAGATGTAGAGGCGATATTTTGTAGTAAGTGCGTAAAATTACTAGGGGTATTACTGATATTTTGATGCATACTCATAGAAGATCAGGCAAGGTTGGGAAAACAAAAGTTAAAATTTTCTAGCTCTTGTTAGTTTAATAAGAGAGTATTTTCTTGTAAAATATCTAGTAACTGCGAAAAGTTGTTTTGAGGTAAACTATCTAATTTGTTTTAATAAAACAAACTTAATAAATAAATAAATTATAGTGAATGCTAATGGTGAAATCTCCAGCCTAGTAGGTCATATGAAAATTTATTTTTCTGTATGGATATTTATAAAAATAAAATTGTTATAGTAGCATATTAGCAGTTGATGTAAATATTATGCACTTTTTTATAAGAGCGTAATATACTTTTTTTTGCATTGATAATTTAGGATCTGAAAGATTACATGCGACAAGCTGGTGAGGTGACTTATGCTGACGCCCATAAACTGAGACGCAATGAAGGGTAAGTCTGCCTCCCCCCCAAAAATACTGTGTTTTATTTTAAAAACATGAATAATTTATTTCATGTGTGTATAAGTTATAAAACATATTAACAAAAAAAAAAAAAAAAAAAATCTATAGTCAAAATGTTTGATTTCATTATTTTACCAGGATTATAGTAAATGACTGGTGAACTGAAGCAGATTAATTGTACCATTCACTAAAAAAAAATTAATTCATCTGTGTAAAACAAAGCCATGTTTGGAAAACATAGAAGATAAGAAAATCTGTAGAATAACAGTAATAATAGTAGTAAATGATATCTGCCTTCTGAAACTGCCAGAAATCACTAGAGTTTGAATTCAATGAATTTGTTAAAGTTCTCTTGAAAATGTTGTACTTTTAATGTTTTTTACAATTTAATTTCTTCTTTTCTAATACTGTTTATTTGTTTGTTACTTAAAGTTTGTTCTTTTTGTTTTAAATGGTGATTTAGGGAAGGAACATATTATGCAGAATGCCTTGTTTGAAAATACAGGCAAACTGCTTAATAGCATTTTTTCTGTTAATTATCATATGGATTATTACTCTTTCTTTTTTTATTGACTTCAGATTAACTGTGATATTAACTGTGAACACTTTTAATTAAAATTTGCTTACCCTATTAAATTGGGAGATTATTTTAGTTAAAATTTGAATTTAAGCTAACAAAAATACTGTGTTTGTTCCTCTGTGTTTTGCATATGAAAGTTTTTTTTTTATTAATTTTTAATAATTTATGTATTCAGAAGTGAAAATTTTTGTTTTGCCATGCTACTGAACCTGATTTTTTTTTTTTTTTTTTTGGATAAACTGCTTAAAAGCAGTTATTATTATAAAAAATTTAAAGAGGAAGAAGGGCCGGTTTTGTGTATATATTTCAGAGCTGCCAAACCTCAAGGTAAAATCGGGAGAGATGCTCAATCTTTCTGTGCATCTGCCATTTTAAAATTTAAAATTTTGATCATCTGTTTTAAATGCAAATCGAGAAGAAATGTTATGAGGTATATTCTCCCTCCTTTCTACATACTGTGTGTAATTGGAAGCAGACTAGATGCATATTTCAAAGGTTCAGAATAAGAGTCGTCACGTTTTTCAAGTATTCTGCTTAAAATTAACCTAATGACTGTACAGTGTTAACTAATTACTAAGTGCCCAAGAAAAATGCTATGAACAGGGTTCATACGATCCTTAAATTTTTTTGGAATTGATTTTTGGTCCTTGAAAGTTCTTAATTTTAGCCAAAATCGGCAGAAGGTCCTTAATTTTAATCATGTGGAATTTCTGTCTGTTTTTATGACTGCAATTTTGAGTGTGAATTAGCAGTTTGAAGGTGTATATTTTTGGCGATTCACTGATAAATATGGTTTTTTGAATGGGCTATGATTTGTTCCTATTTTTAATATAAATGGTGGTATACGTGAGTTTCTTAGCAAGAAGTGAAACAAGTATTTCGAAATTATTTCACTTTTTCTAATGAAGAGCTCTTAAACAACTTTTTGCTTTTGGGGATGTGAATTCTTTTGTTGAGCAGCTTTAAATTTGGTTACTTATCAACATTTTGGCGATTTTTAAGATCAGTTTCTATTGAAAATTTTAAATTCTAAGATCTGGGAATTTTTCGACGACTTTTTTTAAAACATTCTAACATGGATAAATATCATTAAAATAATGGTAATATATTGAAATTATGAGGGCTGTTCAGAAAGTATCGAGACTGAACTTACTCTATTCCAGAAAACCCCTAGTAGTGGAACTGTGCACATCATGCACGCACGTTTCACCTCGTTTCACAAAAACTGGCAGGTCTGTACAGTGCGCCGTTCAGTCACGCTGACTTCTTTCATGTGGAGTGTTTGCGTACGTTCTTCGAAAACAGAAAATGTCTGAAAACATGAAGCAGTGAATCTGTATCAATTTTTGCTTTAAGCTTGGTAAAATGGGCACTGAAACCTACGAGATGATGAAAACAGCATTTGGAGATGAGGCGCTGAGTCATGCTCGGGTTTTCGAGTGGTTCTGGAGATTCAAGGAAGGTCGGAAATCAGTGGACAGTGATCCCCGTTCTGGATGCCCGTCCACCTTTCGCAGTGAGGACAAGATTGCACAAGTGCAGGTTGTGGTAAGCTCTGATCGTCGTTTAACAGTCCGAGAAATTGCACAGGAGTGTGGCGTTTCCATAGGACCATGTGGTGAAATTTTGAGAAAGGACTTAAACGTGCCGAGTGTCTGCAAAGCTTGTGCCGTGTCTCCTCACTGAGGATCAGCAATTCCAACGACTGGCAATCTCATCTGATTTGTTTCAAAGTGCAAGCGACGATCCGGAGTTCATGAAGCTCATCATCACCGGGGATGAGTCGTGGATTTACGGATACGATCCCGAAACAAAGCAGCAGTCATCACGATGAAAAAGCCCCGGCTCTCTTCGGCCAAAGAAAGCACAGCAGGTGCGAAGCCAGATCAAAGTCATGTTGCTTGTGTTTTTCACTGCAGATGGAATTGTTCATCATGAGTATGCTCCGCAGGGCCAGACAATGAACAAGGAATTATACTTGGACGTCCCAAGGAGATTAAGAGAGGCTGTAGAAAACGACCTGCGTTATGGGCGTCGTCTCGCTGGATGCTTCATCATGACAGATCCCCAGCCCACACCAGCAATCTTGTGCAGCAGTTTTTGGCAAAACACGGAACAATCCAAGTAGCACATCCTCCCTACTCGCTGGACAAGCCACCTCCAGATTTCTTCCTCTTTCACAAAATCAAGAACACCTTAAAAGGACAGCCATTTCAGGAATTGAGACTATAAAACAGAATTCGACGCAGCAGCTTCAGGCCATACCAAAGTCGGAGTTCCAGAAATGTTTCGAGGACTGGAAACATTGTTGGGCCAAGTGTGTTACTGCCAGTGGAGCATATTTCGAAGGAGATTGACTCAAAACCTGTTTTGCATAATAAATTCAGTCTCGATACTTTCTGAACAGCCCTTGTAATTTAAAAAAAATTAATTAATTAACAGCTTTTTTAAAATTTTTTTATGATAAAAGTTTTCTCATGTAATTGTCTCAGAATCTCAGAATTCTCAGAATATGCATCACCACTCTCTATAAAATTAATTTCACACTTTTTCCATCTGATATTCAAAATATTTCTGGCTGTTTGCTGTTACAAAATTGGTAGGGGTAATTTTTCTTCGGGACATTAGACATTTCAACTTGAAGAAGGATGCAACTTGGAAAGTTAAGAAGGATTTGAAGGAAAGATTTATAGACCCACGATTCCAGAAGATTTTAGAAAAATGTGACAAAATGAAAAATGTCTCTATGGTATTAACATGTAATGGATGTATTTTGCAGAAAGTTTGCAATGAATTTCTTACTTTTTGGAGAACATGTGAAAGAACATCGAAAACATAATATTTGAATGTTTTACTTCTGATACTAGAATCTTTTTTTTTTTTTAACATGCTTATCTTCCCTTTATTTCTTCTACTTTTCACTAGACACAAGTATGGAAAATATTAAAAATGCTTCTAATCTTATCACATGGACAGGCATTAATTGAAAGGAATTTTTTGATTAATAAATTGAAAAATGGCAATTTTAAAAGATTCATCTAATATGTCTTAATGCATCATACACAGGTCTGACACTAGGCATTTCCCCACCTGGTGCAATCACGTAGAATATTAAACTTATCTCTGTAGATCCTAAATTTTGCCGACTAGTGCCTTTCTAAATTCTGTGTCCCAGTGACTGCTCTAAATTCTAAAAGTTTTACCATTTCTGCATTTTCTTGCTCGGTGTGTCACTAAATTCTAAAAATTCTGCCACACCACTTATGAACTTAATTTTGCATAAAAATAAAGTAAAATTAAATAAGATTTATAGTATGTGATGCTTTGAAATAAAAAAGGTAAAATTAAACAAGATCTGATATTTTTTATTATTATTATTTTTTTAATTTAATGAACATTTAATAAAAAAAGCAGTGATTTTCAAAACTATAATAACATTTCTAAACGATCATATCATTAAATTATTAACATTAAAGTGGATTATTTAGTTTAGTAATTTTTAAAATCCGGAGCATATAAAATTTTCTGAGTATAATGAAGGGGAAAAAAAAAAAAGATAAAATAAAATCTAGAAGCACTCAGATTTTATACTATGCCCAAATTGGGTGGTAACCAGCCATTATCATATATATTTCATATTTCTTCTGAATGCTCATATTACTAAAGAAATAAAATTAGCAGCTTTTTTTTTTATACATTCTAAATGCATTTAGTTTTTTTTTTTTTTTAGAATAGCAAAAAATCTAATTAAATTAAAAAATTCTAAAATGAAAAGGAAGCGTGTTTGAAGAAGAAACCGAATACATACAGATAGAGAAAATTAGTCTTCAAATATATATATATATATATAATATAAATAATGAATTAATATTGTTTAGGAAATAAATTATTATAGATATATATATACAGGTATTATTATGTAAATTACCCAGTTGTTTGTAATTTCAGCCTTTACTATAATTTCTCAATTCTATTTCTTTCCCAGAATGCAAATCACTTAGACAGTTTTTAAACTGAGGAGGTTTTTGGTGTGTAAGACAGAATATGTTTTTAATCTCAGCTTGCTCGCTGCATTAGTTCCTACCAGCTCTGATAATTTGTAAATTTTTGTCTTTGCATTATCGCTGCTGACTTTTGAATCTGTTATGATGATAGAGTTACTGAGCCAGCTTAAATTAAAATTAAATTCTATAGTCTTTGACCACTAGTCCACATTTTTTTTTTTTTTTTTTTTGTTTTGTTTGAATTTGATTGTTCTTGTGTAATTACATCACCACAAACTGCAGTTGAATTGGTTAGTATAAGAACATGCCTTTATTTCTAAGTATCTTTTTAAATAAGAAGCTTTTTCTTTTTAAATAAGAGCTTACCTGTCTGACTTTGTAGTTACTTTCAGACATAGCAGTAATTTGTTAC